GGGCCAACAGAGGTGAGACAAAGAACCTCACCCCCCCACTGGTGCAAAGGCCTATCCACAAGTGTGGCTGTATGCTGGACCGGTAGTCAGTGACGGGTATGATCCAATTGCAGTGGTACCAACCTAAGACAGGAGGCTCATGCCTAGAGGTCAGCTCATCCAATGACGGGTAAGAACCATATGTTGAATTGGACAATCTATGACAGGCATGGTCCGTAAGCCACATTGGTTGTTGTTTAATTAAACAGAAGGGGGGAGATGCTGAGAGCCACGGCCGAGTCTGTATGGCCCCTGACATTTTGCCAACAGTATTAGTTGACAGGCGAGGCATTACTATCTGCCTCGGCCACTACTTTTGAGTTCTCGAGCTACTTTGGAGTTCTCTTGGAGATTCCCGGGGATTCCCCGAGAGTTCCCATTGGTTGGGGAAGTGCAGGAGGAGGGATTTCCGGGAGAGATATTTCCGGGTGGGGTTCCTGGACGAGCCGCGTGGCGTTCAGAAGAATTCCCCGGGAGCGTGTGTGAAGTGTTTTCTTGCAGTTCAAAAAATAAAGTTTGTTCCTGCTTCAGTGGCTCGTGATTTGTGCCCAGCCAGACTGCGGCAACCCACCTTCATCGTATAGTCTAAGGCAGCATTTTTCTTCAGTAAGGCTACATAAAATAATGACATCTGAGAACTGATGGCATTTCATACTCATGAAATACCATAAAGCCTGGAATCTGCAGAATACTTATTTCTAAGTCCCAAATTTCCTCGACTAGAATGTAAGATCTGCTGGTGTTGGTGTAGGATTCAATTCTATCTTAATTATCACATTCCTATCTATTGTAAGTTATTAAAATTTAAAAAATATTTTGTAGACATTACTGGAAGCAGCTTTAAAGTTTCCTAAGCAGTTCCTGAATGCTAGGTACTTTGTGAATCACTCCTGATGCATATAGTTCCACTACCTATAGTTTGCATTATTATTAGAAACCAAGGCCCTGCATTCTGTTCACCATTTTGGCCCCCATACAAAGCCTGCAACAGAAACAACACCTAGTATGGATTTACTGAGCAAGTAAATGAATGAACACTCTCAAAGAGACTTACAGCTGCCCAGTGAGGCGCACGGTGTCATCACTTACAAGAAGTCACAGAAAAAGAACAACAGATATAAGCTTGAAAGTTAATTACTTAGACATGACTATGTAGTATAACACTTGAGATAAAAAGTGCCTCAGAGTATCCACTCTGGAGTCAAAACATCTGAATTCAAATCTCAGTTCTGCTATAAGTGATGCATGTCCATAAGTGCCCAGGCAATCCCGACTTGGCTGTGGATCTCAACACAAAAGTAAGGCATTTATCTATCTGCATGCCCAAGTTTCCTCACCTGAAAATGGAGATGAGAATAGAACCTACAATTCCTGGGGTTAAGACAGCACAAGGTCATAATGTAGTGAACAGGAGCCAAACACAGCAAGTCACATTATTTGGAAGTTAATTAAATAAACAAGATGGGCCTCTCCAACTATCAATCCTACAGATTTATCCCTAGTTCCAAACCTTTTCTAGTCTTCCTTGAAGTCTAACCACCACCAGGCAATCACTATCAGGCTGATGAGGATGACTGGGGGTCCTGTGACTGGCTAGAAGGACCTAGACAAAGGAAGCTCCAAATTCATTAGTCTCATTTCCTCAATCAGTGGGGACTAGGCCAGCTTCAACAACTCCCTAAAACCAGGTCAGCAGCCTATTTACTGCTTAGTTTGTTGTCCTCCCCACTATAACCTTGAAAAAGGTAAACAATGAAGCAAATTGCCAAATGTATAATGTCCTACACTTTGGATTAATGCAGGAACCTTATTTTTACCGTAAAATTTTACAGTACATAGTAAGCACTAAATAAATGTTACATAGTACATTACTGGCCCAATATAATTCAGTCTTTCTCACCCCAGTGCCCATTCCCCGTCATATTACCTATTTTCAAAGAGTAAGCTACTTTAGCAGCATTTTCAATTTTCCCAAATGTGGCAGAAGTCATTTAACACGTTGCAAAGAAAATACCATGTTTCTTCCAGCTCATAATATAAAAAAGGACCAAAAAACAAAAACTTCAAAACAACATAATTTATTTATTTTTTTTAAATTTTTTATTGTTGGTTGTTCAAAACATTATAAATTTCTTGATATATCATATTTCACACTTTGATTCAAGTGGGTTATGAACTCCCATTTTTACCCCATATACAGATTGCAGAATTACATCAGTTACACGTCCATTCATTTACATATTGCCATACTAGTGTCTGTTGTGTTCTGCTGCCTTTCCTATCCTCTACTATCCCCCCTCCCCTCCCCTCCCCTCTTCTCTCTCTACCCCCTCTACTGTCATTCATTTCTCCCCCTTGTATTATTTTTCCCTTTCCCCTCACTTCCTCTTGTATGTACTTTTGTATAACCCTGAGGGTCTCCTTCCATTTCCATGCAATTTCCCCTTCTCTCTCCCTTTCCCTCCCACCTCTCATCCCTGTTTAATGTTAATCTTCTTCTCCTGCTCTTCGTCCCTACTCTGTTCTTAGTTACTCTCCTTATACCAAAGAAGACATTTTGCATTTGTTTTTTAGGGATTGGCTAGCTTCACTTAGCATAATCTGCTCTAATGCCATCCATTTCCCTGCAAATTCTATGATTTTGTCATTTTTTAATGCAGAGTAATACTCCATTGAAAACAACATAATTTAATTGAGTATATAGAAGGAGAGAAGTAAATATCAGGCTTATTTATTCTTCAAGTCCCAAAGAAACTATTAAATATGGCAGGGAAGAGGAGAAATTAGTGGATTTAATTAGACATGTTTATAAACATGAAATATACATCTTTATGAAAATCAAAGATTTCTAATGCTTGAGCAAAAAGTATGCCTATGCATACTGTAATCCTATGCATACTGCAATTGTATGCAAGCTGTAATCCACAGCTTCATGATTATCTTGCCCTCTCTTCAGAAAATTCAATGCTCAAAATAATTTAACTTAATATGCACAAGATTATAAAGACTAGCATACATCATAATTCTTTGCTCAATTTGTTAAATATCTTGAATTTGAAAATTAAAAGCTTGATAAGAAGGAATGGTCTCATTTGCAGTGTCACTTTGGGAACAGTCACTTGGGTTTAATATGAATTTATCACAGAAAACAAAATAGCTATGAACGAATGAAATCAATGAGTGTTCTGTGGCCAAGTATAATGTAGAAATGTCTTGTTCATGAAATTTTTCTGTTTTACTACATCAAGAGTGTTCAAAAGTACATAATATTGGTGCAGTAATTTGAGAATTTTTCATTTCTGTTGTGTTTTCAATGTCTAGAAATCGTGCTTAAGTCAAATAGCCAAAAACAAAAAGTACATGCAGATCAGGCTTTTGTTTTAGTTTTCAAGTAACAACAATCTAATTAGATAAAACATTTACTTCTAGCAGGAGAAACAGTTGAAAATAGGAGGTCGGTTCTGAGATTCTTACAGTCAGTAAAAAACACAACCTAATACTCAATGCACATAAAGCACAACCAGAACTCTACTTTGGACTCCTCAGCATTATATTCATTCATCAGCACCATCTTATTTTTTTTAAATATCAAATATTATGTGGAGGTTTTGTTTGTTTTTTCTTGAGACAGCTGGCCTTTCACTCATGATCCTCCTGCCCTGTCTATTTCAGAAACGTTTCGTGAGTACACTCTGCTCCATAGTCTATCCCCTATCTGGCTTATATTTAACAACCTATTACACCCTGTTCCTTTTTAGGCTCCCAAACCAGATGGTTCTGACGTCACATAAGGGACAGGACATACCATTTCAACAAACTTCCCTGGCTTCATTTTCCTCTCTTGTTGTTAAGATGAACTTGGGCTACTTGTGCCCTTTGTGTCATCTCAAACTTGCAAGTAATAAGAAGGTGCAAGTACTTCAACTCTCAAAGCAAAAAGACTTAAACATTTATGGACATCAAACAGGAGGGGATAGGGAACAAAGGCCAGTCTACTCCCTAATGATAGTTTCCTAGTGACAATGTATACACTAATCTGATAAGGCGTCATTTTAGGAAGAAAGTAGCCAAGATTCTTATTAGACTGAATCCAAGGAGTTATAAATTGCTCTACCTTCACTGTGATTAATAAATTTTATAATCAATATATACATTAAGAAGTACAAAATACAGGAATTAATATTATCCAACATGGTATACTTGTAGTACATATTTCTTAAAGGACCTCTAAATATTTGTAAAGGAAAAAAAGCCAGGTACACAGTTCTGATACACACACACACACACACACACACATAAATACACCTCTGTTTGAAATGACATAATAATCAATACTTTTTGTTGCTGAGGCCCAGCAACAAACTATTACAGGTGGAGCATCCCTAATGCAAAAATGTAAAATTTATAACTTTTTGCTCCAAATCGAAAGCTTTTTGAGCATCTTTTGGGGAAAGTTTAAGGAAACATACCATAATCTGAAAAACTGAAATCTCTTAACACTTTCTGGTTCCAAGCATTTTGGATAACAATTCAAGTTGTACTAATTTATATTTTATTCTATCTAATTATGTTTTAGAAACCAGTTTCATCTAGAGAACTCAAAAAAAATATATAAATAACATTGTTTATTACAACTAGGTTCTATTACATCAAACAATTATGTTTAACCCAGTTTTGTTTACAACAAACCTAATTTTGCAAGGCAGTATTAATGGGCCTCTATAGATAATAAACTGTACAATTTAACTCAAATACCCTAAATGTTTAGGGGAGGGGGTCCATGGTATGAGAAAATATTAAAAAACGATTACATGAAATAATTTAGTGGATATGAAAGAAAAAATACAGGGACTGAAAAATGTTTTTTTCTGGAAAAATTTACTGATAAAATTTAAGAAATGCTATTTGCTCCATATTGTAAATGCTAATATTTAATAGCAATTTTTAAAAGTATTTCTTACCTGCCCCTTTCAACTGCCAAGGCATCAAGTTCATCAAAGAAAATAATGGAAGGAGCCAACGCTCTTGCTTTTCGGAAAATCTGGTGGAAAGAGTACCACATTAGCCAGTATCAGAAAATTCTGTAATTGTTTACTATTTGAAAACTACATTGAGAACAAAATCTATTATGTACTAATCATCCAGCCCAATCACTTCATATACAGTCTAAAATAAATGTCCAGGACTTTGTAGTGGAAGTAAAAGTGACTTCTTTAATGGTGCTTATAGACAAGACTACCAACCTTTCACACAGGTATACAGGACACAGTGCAGGTGAAAAAGAATCAACCTGCTAAAATCTCAGCTCAACCACTGAGAGAACCTGTGCAATCTTCAGCTGTTAATTACTTCTCTAAATCTCAATTTCCATATCTATAAAATGGAGATAATCTAAATGCTTACCTAGTACCTCAGAAGATAATTTTAAGAACTGGGAGGGAAAAAGACAAAAAGCATTTGGCACAATGCCTGGAATACAGTAAGAGCTCAATAACTGAAAGCTCTTGTTAACTACCACAAACACGTTCATTTAAATACACACACACACACACACACACACACACACACACACAACAACAACAACAAGATGAGAAATCACCACAGATTTGCACATAAAATACTCACATACCTAAAAGCCTTACACCTTACTCATTTCTTTGAAGACTAGATGGGAAAATGATTGATGTAAAGCCAAGACAAGAAAAATGGCCAAGTTTTAGAGGAGCACAGACTGGATGGAGGAGAAGCCAATCAAACAAACCAATCAGAGCCTAGCCAGAGAGCCACAGCAGTGCTGTGAGGAAAGACACCAGAAAGAAGGCAGCACAGGTACAAGGAAACCAAATGTATGCTGCCTATAACCGGGGCCCCAATTTTTGGATCACATGTAGTATTATCATAAAAATACATATGAATAAATATCACCTTTTTCATCCTGTCATTATCAATTAAGTTTTGTCCAATTAACATCATCTCCATTTTAAAGGGAAAAAAGTGACTTTTTTTTTCCCCTCATGATCAAGTATTCCAATTCCTGATCTCCCGATACCCAGGTATTTCACAAATGAGGGCCTATTCTGTTGCTTTTTGTGTGTTCCTATCCTCGTATGGCTGCTGTGAGCACACAGTGTCCTGTGTGAGGCAGATCAAGCACTGATTATTAGCAAAGTCAAGACTTGTGGTCAAACTGCTGATTCCAAATGCCCTGACTGTGCACAAATTTACTAAGTTGTACAGCTTCCCCAATATGAAGGAGTAGCACCTCAGTCAGGACTGGCAACAAAGGCCTGCCTTCAACACACAGGAGTGAAGAAAGAGGTGCTGTCTAAATCACCAGGAAGAGGCAAATTAAGCAGACAGTACACTGAAATTTTCATATACTAAGTTTATCCAATTTAAAGGTCCACCCTGTTTAGAAGATTTAAATCTCATGAGATCTTGTGTTCTCCTTTACACAGACATGTCTTTTTTAAAAAATACAGAAATGCAGTTAGTTCTTAAAAATTATCTTTACGTGGTTAAAAATAAAGGTAATACCATGATATTAAATACATATGTATGATACTACAGATGAAACCAAAAATTACATTTTCAAATAAGATATATTTGCCTGAAGAAAAAGATATATCACTAAAATGTGGATTTGGAAATTTCAGAGTCTGTTACCCAAAACAAAATGGAAACCATACATAACAGAAGTTGTAGATCTCCTGTGAAAAATGCCACTTATGGCCTCATCTTCTTACCTCTCTAACTGCTCTTTCAGATTCACCAACATACTTATTCATTAATTCAGGCCCCTGCATGAAAAGGAAACACAACTGTTCATTATCTTCATAAATGCAACCAGATACATTTCTTTTGATGATGGAGAAATAATATACACAAGAGGAAAAAGTAAATAAAAATCTGCTTTTAATTAAATTAGCTCTATTAGCATGATTATTTTCTCTGGGTATTATTTCTAACTCAAAAATTAAAGTGGGGCTGGGGTTGTAGCTCAGTGGAGGAGCACATGCCTTCCATGCGTGAAGCCCTGGGTTCAATCCTCAGCACCATATAAAAATAAATAAATAAAGATATTGTGTCCATCTACAACTAAAAATAAATTTTAAAAAAATTAAAGCCTTCATATGTTTCTAAAGCCACGTATCAATTCAAAGGAAAAGCTGTGTGACTAAACATTTTTTAACACCTCGTTCATCATCTGTCTATCTATACATATATGTTTTTACAATTCAGCTGGCAAGAAGACAGAACAGTCTAGTCTGGAAGACCAACAAAAAGGTAACATCCATGGATTCCCAGGCTAAACACTGGCTAATACTGAGTAGGTCTATATATTAGTTTATTTCTAAACCCACTACATCAATAACCCTATCTGACAAGAAGCAAAACCTCAGGTGTATATTTCTTATGGTTCTATGCTGAGCCTTGAAAAAGTAAGGAGATGGAATAGGAATCATGTAACCATGACACTGCCTTATAGTCTCTGGATGTTCTCAATATAAAAGTTGCACTCCCATAACCAGACCACAGAGAAACTTAACTATAGGGTTCTGTAGAACCAAACATGCCCTTCTTAACACCAGTGTCCCAGCCAAAGAAGGTCTCTGCGATAGAACCAACTCTTAGGACCACCCACACTGTTAATCCTCAGAGTATCACCCTGTCCCTGTGAAAAGTCTCCAGTATCTAGTCTTTATTCACGGCCTCTGTCTGAATCCTCCTTCAAGTATGTACAACTCAGCACTCCATCCGATTGATGGGATTTCTAGCTCCTTCTTGTGTCAAGGCATTTTAGGAGGGTATTATGGCTAAAAGGCATCGACCTCTAATAATAAAATTCTATCCATTTTTAATAATCAGTCTTCCAACAGGAGAGTCCCACGAAGGTAGCTGGTCTCCTAGTGATACAACACATACCACTGATTCAGAGTTCACTGACTTTTACAGTATGCACAGACTGACACGTGTGAATAAAACTTACGCAGGTAAGGCTCTAGTATAGGTGGAGCAAAGAGGCAGGGAGCCAGTTAAGCTACTTAAAGTCTGAGGTAGGCAATGTCAAACATGAGTGCAGATTTTACCCTGTAAGCAATCAGAAGGGTTCCAGGGGAGGGAAGGGGTTACAGGTCTACTGCTGAAAGGTGACTCTGGCCACAATGTGAAGGAGACTCTGGAAAGACACACAGGCCAGAAACTAAAACCAGTAATGAAGTGCTTAAGACATAAAGGTGTGAAACAACGAGGGGCAGGATTAAGGCAAATGGTGAAATGGAAATGAGAAGATACCACAAAGCCATTAAAAAGCAATTGCAGAGAGCAGAATTCAAAGATGAGAAAGAATAATGAAAAGAATAATTCAAATTCAGCTTAAGAGCATTACTTTTGGTGTTCATGACAATGACTTAATCATGGAAAAGGGATCTTCAATATTTTCAGAGTAGCTAATCTCAAAAACATGTAGCTCTTTAAAAATACTTCATTTCAAAATAATTAAAACTAAAGTACATTATAATCACTGTCATAAGTACTAATATTTACTATAAATTTACTATGTTCCATGAACTGTTCGAAGCACTTCATGTGTATTAACTAAGCTATGTAAAATGTCAAAGAAGCACTGATTTACAATGAGGACTTCAAAGTTGTAATTTAAAGATTCACACAAAACCAAATTTAGGGAAGATCACCATCAAGCACCCAGTATCTCAATTTCTTTGCTAAAAGTAACTGAAGTGATTGACATATAAAGGCACTAAATCAGTCACTCATTCATTCAACCAACATTCATTAAGTTCCTACAATGAGTTTATGGCTTAATTGAGGAGCTAAAGCAAGAAAAAAAATCATAACAATAAAGAGAAGGCCATAAATGAAACAAAGATTCCTTTCTAGTAAAGGAATTAACCCTGAACAACAATGAGGTAATAACTGTGTTCAATCATTTAGAATAGCTGAATCAATATGCTTCTACTATTGTCTCAGGCATTAATCAACAGTAACTTTGATACTTGTGTTCAAAGATGCAGGAGTGGGAGGGGGTAGCAAATAAAAGGCAGAATAATTCCAGAGTCTGAGAGAAAGCCTGGGGTATCTTAGCACCCAGTTAGACAAGGAGAAAGCTAATACACTAGAAGAGAAAAAATCTGAGTATAAGGGGCTGCTTAAAAAAAAAAAAAAAAAAACAGGCAAGTACAACAGCGTGCAGGAAGGGAAATTTTGGAATCATATGAGAAGTGGAATCGGAAAAGGAAATTCAGGTTCCAAGATTTCACAGAAAAAATTCCAAAGTTCAAACTGCCAATCAAAAGACTAATCAGAATTTTGACAAGTAGAGAAGTCATAATTCTTATTTGTCCAAGACAATTCATCCTTCACAAACACATTAAGATTCTAAATACTTAATATCAAATCCCTATGCTCGGATGCAATGGAATCCTCCAGTGTTCACAACTTTCTAACAAGCTGTCATTCTGCCTGTGGAAATATACCATTTTTCCTTATAGAATCTTTTATGATTTCAACCAAGCTCAAAAGAACAAATCTGTTAAAATCTTTTGAATGGCAATTTTACCAATTTTTTCAATTAGAAATATAAAGTACTATGGACTAATTTGTTTTAAACCAAACTTATGACCCAGCACTGTTATAAAAGGTCGCGGACAAAGGCACCAAGGCTCTGGGAAGGTCCCAAGGTAACTAGGACCGCAAGGACAAGAGAGCACCAAAGGAAGTGAGCAAGAGAAGCCCAACACATGGCACCACTTTCCCACCCAGGTGTTTCAAAATACACCTTTTTAAAGAAAATAAAGAGTACCTGGCACTCACAGAGTAGAGGAGCACCAAAGTCTAGAGTTCAGGGGCATCTAGGAGGAGGAATCTCAGTAAACATACTTTACTTTTCCAACTAGAATAGAGGAGAAACACGTCATCCCTCAACCCTGGTTTGACTAAGGTGATGGGTCCCTACCCTAACTGCCTGTATAAACAAAAATTAATTATATCAGGAAGATTACAACATCATAGTTAATTAGTTCAGGAATAAAAGAAATTATGAAGAAGCTTAACATCATACAAATACTCAGCCAACAACTTTTTATATACAATTATATTTTATACAAACTCCATCCAAATAATCAGTTATGCAATCCAGAAGTTATTTGGTGAAGCTAAAGAAACAGGAGACAGAGGTGGGTGTGAAAGGGCACTGAGGCTGGCAAAAGAAGGGAGTAAGAATCTGCTATGGTCTAAATGTTTGTGTTCTCTCAAAACCCATGCTAGAATTTAATCCCCGATGAGAAATTATGTGGAAGGGTGGGTTTTGGGAAATGATCCAGTCATGAGGGCACAGCCCTTATGAATGAGATCCGTACCTTTGTAAGAGAGGCCCCAGAGAGGGCTCTCCTTTCTTCCACCACAAAAAGATACACTGAAAAAGAGGACCATCTATGAACTAGGAAGAACCCTTATCACTGAATAAACCAGCACCTTTACCTTGGACTTCCTGAACTGCAGGAATCTCAGTAAACATACTTTTACAGAATTGTAAGAAATAAACTTGTTGCTCATAAGTCATCCCCATCCTATGGTATTCCTCCCCAGCAGCCTAAAGAGACTGCAACAGACTCCAAGCCAGATGGCGAGGGAGTCCATGAACATTGCAGCACACTGCAGCTCCACCTGATAAAACATCAGAGAAGAGTGGCAGTGGCCAGGGGTAGGGTGAGAAGGATGTCAAGGAAGGGCCACAAGGACGAGTAGAACAGGATGAGAACAGGCTTGTGAAAGGATGGCCTCCTGATGGGCCAAGAATCACATCCTGGGGAGAAGCAGCCCAGCACAGGCTGCAAAGCCACTGGAGTGAAGAGCAGTAAGAAAGGAGTCAGTGACAGCACCCTGACACCCGCAGAACCTAATAGGGGAAGGAGCACGTCCACAGAGAGAGAACAGGGACAGGCAGCAAATGTGATCTTATCCAGAAGGACTCACAGATTACAGCTGCCAAGTTTTCACTACTAAAGAGGTGAGCTGCAAATAGAAAAAGGAAATCAGAAAGAATTTCATTGTAATGAAATGGAGACGGTACAAATTCAAGTATAAAGTTCAAATAAATGAAAGGAAAAAATCTTGACCCACAGGCATAGAAATACTGGAGATGGGAAAAAAGGTTCAAATACAAACATACCCAGAAATAACAGAGTGACAAAACAGCATACATGTCTTAAAACCACATATTATAAATTTTTCAAAAATAAAGATATTAAAATCATTAAGAATTAAAAGTCATAATACATGAAATGAAAAATGCACCAAATGAGCTCACAGCAAACATTACTTAAGAAGAGAAATACCAACAAATCTTAAGGCAGAACAACCACTCAAGCCAAAGCGCACACACAAAAAATGAGAGCACATGGCCTCTGGGATCTGTAACAGCACCACAATGTCTAAGATACCATAATTCGACATCCAGACAACAGTGAAAGGAGACAGGTTAAAAATATACATTTGGTTTTTATATATATACACACACACATAAAAAAATATATATATATGGGTTTCTAAAAACTGGACACAGTGGCACACACCTGTAATCCCAGTGGATTGGGAGGCTGAGGCAGGAAGATCATGAGTTCAAAGCCAGCTTCTGCAATTTAAGCAAGGCCCTAAGCAACTCAATGAGACCCTGTTTCTAAATAAAGCATTAAAAAGGGCTGGGAATGTGGCTCAGTGGTTAAGCACCCTTGGGTTCAATCCCTGGTACCAAAAAAACAAAACAAACACAGATCCAAAA